ACCATTATACCCTGATTTCCCATTTTCAATGGGTTCAGGGTATAAAAACATTAAAGCCTGATTTCCCATTTTCAATGATTTCAGGGTGTAAAAATCACAACTCTATAAAACACACATGAATTTATGTTTAAAGTTTGAATTTTTACTTAAAATTATACTCTAGCTCTAAAAATATAGGAGGAATTATAGGAATATAGGAATATATTATATAACTGACTTTCGAAAAGATGTTTAATCGATAAATAAATGGTATTAGTTATTGTTTTTCAGGAAAAATAAAGTGAAGTCTCTCTTTTCGTATTCATTTTTCCCAAGAAACTTAGTGTACATATATGAAGTATAAATCCTTTACTAAATACTTAAATGCAATCCATATTAAATTATAAAAAAAAAAAACAAAAAAACAAAAAATTAACAAATAAATGTGTCCGAAACATAATTATCTTCTCGGCAACTATTTTTGAATATAAATTTTACCCCTATATTTGATTTAGCTATACTGATCATTGATTTTTTGATCAACGCGCTGTATAAAATTATTCTATAGACATGTTTTTTAATGGAAATGCTCTACCACGTTTATTATAAATTACTGATTTATTATTCAACATTGTTTTGAAAACTCATATTATATTATATTATATTATACTATATACATATGAGCCCACATTATCTTATAGATAAACTTACCATATGCTGTTAGTTTGCCCGTCCTTTCGGAGAGCTTATACCCGTTTGGATTGAGCGACATTTTCTCCTCTGCAACAAAATCGAAGAGAATATAGAGAACTCATTAAAGTTAAATCTATATACAAATGTCTGCTGTCGGTTTAATGATTATATAACCCTGAATTGAGATAAAAGCGTATGTATGCAAATGGCAAGAGGGAACGAGGTGTTACACAATATCCGAGCGATAAATATGTAAATACTTCAATTACATAACCAACGCCATGAAAAACTGCGTGAAAATGCAATGGCTAAGTAAATAAACAGAAATGAAAATGAACGTACGCAAATGTGGGTGTACAAGGACAACTGAAGGACGAGATTGGCGAGTGAGTGTGGGTGGCACATCCTTATATACATAATTGTATATAAGGCCAGCAATGCATGTACGCAGATTTGATAAGAGACTGGGACTGGGACTGGGTCTGGGTCTGGACTGAATGTGCATATACAACATAAGGCAGAGCAGCATCTGCTATTGCGCAGTGAGTGTTAACGTTATTTCCTGCGTGGGCATCTGTGTGTGTATGTGTGTGTGTGTAGAGACTATGTACAGGATACAGACAAGGCGACAGCTGTAATCAATGTGGAAAACCTTAAACCTGGACCTTAACTTATGTAACAGACACTCGGATAAAGAGTGAGTAGTGTGTTTACGAAAGAAGAAAACATTTTCGTTTTGTTTCTTTTTTTTTGGTATTGTGTGCGTGAAGTATAGGTTATCTTACCGATTATCCTGCGGATATCGTCGATGTATTGCTTTAAGTAATTCACTTTGGCTGCTTTACTGGCAATTACGTGTGAAGAGCGAAAATGTGCGATGCAGGGAACAACAAGAACAATAACAAACAACAACAAATGACGTTTGCGATCGAGCGAGTGCAAAATGAGCGTTTGACTAAGCTAGTTCTAGCTAGCTAGCTATCGAGATGACCTGGAATGCGATTGAATTGGTGGCAGGTGCAACTACTAAATTGTGCTACAGCTACAACTTACAAAACTCGGCTGCACAACACTCGCGTAAACTGGGAACTTGATTGAACTGAACCGAACGGGACGGAGCCACAAGACCAACTGTGACGAGCTGCGCTCGAAAGTTTTGGATGCCTACGAAAAGCAGCTACACTCGCTGACGATCTGCGGAGCTATGAGCAGCAGCATCCGCCTGGGTTGCCTACGAAGCTTGCGATGCCACGCACAAAATGGCTGCCTACCTAAACACCCGCACACCACACACACAAACACTCGCATGTATACAGCATATGTCGAGCTGTGTGTTACATAACCTTCACAACAGCAAAGCCCTGACCAGCTCCTATGTATGGGCACGTCGTATATATGCAGATATATTTTCGCCAGCTTTTGGGCGCCAAACTGCGCAGGCATCCGTGACGTCACGAATTCATTCGGAATCCATCTTGGCCGCTCTGTGGGCGGAGCCACTTTAATGGGCGGCAGCCTTTTTACGTATCCAACAGATACATACACGAGCAGCCACGTAGCTGTTGCCAGTGCGCACGCCTCGCAGTACAAGGATTTATCCCCAACTCTTTTTCAGCTAGCCCCCAGACTAAATTTTATTTTATTTTATTTTATTTTTTTTTTCATTTTATCATTTTAAGTGCCTGGTGTTGTTGTTGTTGTTGTTTGTGATAAATTCTATTTTTTGTACTCCGAGCATTTTGTCTGTTTTTGCCATGTGATGTGGCAGAATGAAAAGCTAATTAACAAACTAATTTTCAAACTGTTTTTGACATTTACAATGCCAAAGTTTTTTATTGCCATTTGGTCGAAAGAAAAGCGCAATTTGTGCAAACATGTATGTATGTACATATATGAAAGCCAACGAAAACCCTTCAGTTATTTTAAAGGAATTGCTCCATATCAGACGAAAAAAAAACATTGACTTTATATGTACATATATACTATATATCTGTGTGTGGTCTTATGTTTAGTTATGGATTTTTCGTAGCTCGCAGAATTCAGGTCAAAGCAGGAGTTGCAAACGGAAACACCAACACCTACACGAATTTTCGCATATACAGATACAAACAGAATTCACAAGGGATCCGAAAGTTGGTCCAGGGTCCCGCCCACACGGTTCAATTGCATTACTTGCATCCCAATGATTTTCCATAGCATACTTCTTGGGGCAACTTATGTAACACTGAATGTTACTTGGCACTCACTCGAGCATGCCAACTCAGCACAATGTGGAATACAAGGTAAAAGGACTCAAATCAGCTGCCAGCACTGTTGACCAAGTTGCCAACGCAAACAGAGGCCGACAAAAAACATTTCCCAGCTAAGTTCTCTTATCTGCGAGCATGCAGGCGACATTTCAATCATAGCATTCGTCCCACAAAACTTTGCTAAGCTCTTAAAAGCCTTACCTAGCCTTGTTTTTAAGTACTTACACATTTCTTTCTTGTCGTTTTTAAAGAAACTTAAATGGTAAATGAATACACAATGAGTGCATAACAAGGAATTCAAGCAATGACAGTAACATAATATATGTACATATAATTGTCTTCATTTAGTTCATTATTTTATTATTATTTTTTTATACCCTGAACCCACTGCAAATGGGGAAATCAGGACACAAAATAGGGGTAGATATAAGAGCTAGACACTTAAAATTTTTTTTCCTAGGTTCGTGCGTACCACGTGCATAACGAGTTTTTTTTTTAAAGGGATGACTTGTCCCGTTATTTTGTTATTGATTAAACCCCTTATCGAAAGTCAGTATTATAATCATGATCTAAAAGTTTCATGAAGATAATCCATTCACAAGAAAAAATATCAAACAATTAAGTTCCCGTATTAAGCCCACAATGTAGCCAATCCGTGCTTATGTGTGCGTGCGAATGCTTGTGTATGTGAGTGTGTCTGTGCATGTGCGAATAACTATTGAAATATCAGTTGCTCGAAAGGTTCAGTCGCGCAGTCTTGCCTAGAGCTTTCTTAACTGTTTTGTAACTATCTAATATGTGGATAATATAATTATTTTACTATCTATTAATAACAAAAATATGTGTCAATTATTATTTAGAAAATATTAAAAACATTTTTAAGCTACGATTTTTAAAATTGAAAAAATAAAAAGTAAGAAGACTCTAGTCGAGACTGCTCGACTAGGAGATACCCTGAACCCTCCA